TAATTTGCTTTGTCCAAATAAAACGTTGGCGTGATTTTTTTGGTGCACATTGTCTTAAGTCAATTACATTATATGCATTTTTCTTTCAAAAAAATTTCCACATAAACACTTGCAACTAAAAAAAATATTGGATTCGTTAAATCTAATTAAGTTCTTTGAGAACTTGTGATGATCATTGTCTTTAACAAACAAACAAAACTTATGATAATTGATCAATCATTTTAACTACGGTGTCCTACTGAAAAACAAAAATTCGAGATTCCATATTAATATAATGCATATATTTTTTGGGGGAAATTTAGGGTTTGTTTCTTTAAGACTTGTGAAAATCTAAGTTGTTTACCATTTCAAACGTCTATGATGGCTAACATGGTGAATCCTCAACCACTAGACCAAGTTAATATTTCGCAACATCACGTATTTATATTTACTTTTCAATCACTCATGTCGTTATCATCAACATCTTCGTAAAACCGGCCAGGACTTAAAATACTTACATAACCAATCATTAGAACTCATGTCCAACGCACTACAAAACTTATATATTGTTAATAGTAGTAATTTTATATCAATAACTATGCGTGGAATGCGTGGATGTGTTAAGAATCTACTCCTATATATATAGTAGGACAAGCAAAAGGTCCTTTTGTGCTTCATATAAGCAACTAATCTTCATTATTTTAATTTTTCTTCTCTACTTTCTTCACAACTTCAAGAATGGCCTGTCTTGACTTTGGTTCCATTGAAGAATCCTTTAAATTGGTCTCTTTGAAAGCTTACCTTGCCGAGTTCATCTCAACTTTGCTCTTTGTTTTCGCTGGTGTTGGCTCCGCCATTGCCTATGGTTCGTTATCTATCTCTCAATCCGCATCATAATCAACTAAAACCTTAAGAATTCCGCAATTTTGATTATATAAGATTGTTGGCCAAAAAATATGATCAAACTTTTTCTCAATAATTGTAACATAGTTTTGATTTGTTACATCATTACACTAACATATTTCATCTTTATCCTGATAAATTGGTAAGTTGTAACTATGGGTCAGTACTTAACGAACTAATTTGCATAAACTAGGATCGATACTTACCTATAGATAATTGTAACGTAATTTCCATTTGTTACATTGATCATAACAAATATGTAATTGTAGTTGGCGAACTATTTATAATATAGGTTAGATACGTTAACCAATCATCTATGATCGACACTTAACTAGTTAGATAATTGTAACGTAGTTTTCCTTTGTTACATTGATCAAAACAAATGTAATGTAGTCTCCTAATTTGTAATCATGGGTTAATACTTAACGAAGGTGATATTTGCATAATATAGGAAAGCTAACGGAAGACGCCGCTCTTGATGCGTCGGGACTAGTGGCGATTGCGATTTGCCATGGTTTTGCTCTCTTTGTGGCGGTTTCGATCGGAGCTACTCACTCCGGTGGTCATGTGAACCCAGCGGTCACTTTTGGCCTTGTTCTTGGCGGAAAATTCAAAGTCATCACCGGAGTTTTCTATTGGATTGCTCAGCTTCTTGGCTCCACCGTGGCTTGCTTCCTTCTCAAATTTGTCACCGGTGGTTTGGTATGGTCTACTTTACTCACTAACTTCTTRATGAAAATATATATGCATGCATTTT